GCTACTCATCTGGAGTCCACTAACCTTTGTGAGTCAATCAGAACAGGGTATGTTACTATGTTAGTATGGACAGCCTAGTGTGGGACATCTCAGCCAGATGCCAGGTTTGTGCTCAAGTGAATCCAAAACAGAGACCTTACCCAGAAAAGGGTCCAAAGAAGAGAGACCAACACCCCAGCGATCTCTGAGAAAATGGACTTCACCAAGATTTAGCCTGATGGGAAGGATAAAAGTGCTTAGTAGTTTTTGTAGATACTAGGTGGATGGAAGTGTTTCTCATCCAGACAAAATTTGTTCAAACAGCTAAAATCTCCTGTAGGAACTGGCCTCCCTCTAGCAATGGGGTCTGACAACGGCCTAGCTTTCATAGCCCAAACCTCTCAATTACCAGTTAAAGCTTTAGACATAGATTGAAAACTTAGTTGTGCATACAGACTTCAGAGTTCTGGACAGATCAAAAGAATAAACAGGGCGTTAAAAGAAACTATAACAAAATTCTCATTAGAGTCCAGAGAAGGGTGGATAGGCCTCCTTCCTTTGCTTTGGTCAGCCTGCTGTACCCCATATGGGGGAAACTTACCCACTATGAGGTTATGTTTGGAAGCCCCCCCCCCACTGCTTCCCAGACTCAGAGACCAGCAGCAGGCAGAACTCTCTAACCATTCCTTTCTCTAGTCACTACAGGACCTCCAGTTCTCCACACAGGCTCTTCAGTGGACTACCTGAGGGACCCAGCTGACCTCTGAGTTCACCACCAGTTTCCCCTTGTTCGAGTCCAGTGATGTGATCTGGGTCAAGTGGGTAGACAAAGGGGCACTGGAACTAACCTGGAAAGGTCCCTACCAGGTGATCCTCTCCACTCCTATGACAGCGAAGGTAGCTGGCATCACACCATGGATCCACCACACCCAGGTCAAGAAAGAAGAAGCCATAGATGCTGTTACCAAATGGACCATCTCTGGACTACAGTCCCATTGAAATTAAGGTTTCACTGGGCCTGGGCTCTTCCACCCCCTGCCCCTCCACCTCCTCCTGAGTCTTGTGTTCTATACTGTGGATATGAATATAGGGTTATGAACCAACCCCCACTGCACTCAGGCCTGGACTGGAAACTGAGGAAGACAGACACAAAGAAAGTATTGCTAGTGTGACTACAGACCAGCCACCCGTTTTCCACCTTGACCTTTACTTGCTGAGGTCCACTATAAATGTCTGGTTATGTTGAAGAAAAGGAGAGATATGGAAGTTTGTCTTTTGAGATGGGAATACAGAGTTTACAATTCTATGCATGTCCTGTGGCTGGGTCCCCTAGTTGCCAGAAACAAAGGAGTTTCCCTTACAAAAATTGGGGTTGTAAAACTGAGGCTTCCTGAAAATTTCCTTTAAAAGATTCTGCCCTTTGGGAAACAGGAAAAACCTGGGGAATCAGACTCCATGCCACAGGAAGGGACCCTGGGGACAGAGTTTATCACTCACAGCCAGAAATCATCCAGGATTGCTGGTTATGCTTTGATACCCAGCCTCTGTAGTGTCAACCCGTTGACTGACAAAACTCATCATGACTGGGGCAGCCCAGATTAAAGTCAGAGGACCTATAAGGGGCTGAAACTTGTGTAATATCCAGAATCTTTAACCTAGGCACTTGCCCTTATTCTGATGCCTGCTGTTCTGACTTATGGGTTAATTCATCTGGACAACAGCAATATCACCAAGTCCCTGAGACTACTTGGTCGGCATGTACCAATGGTTTGACTAAATGTGCCTGTTCTGATGCTTTCCAAACTAAGTAAACAGGTTGATCTGACCTGGAGGTATTAAAACACCAGTTAGATTCCCTTACAGAAACTATCCTACAACATTAGAGAGCCTTCGATTTACTTCTCATGAGATAAAAAGTATATATGGCTTTAGAAAAAGACTGTTGTTTCTATGCTAACTGGTCAGAAATAATTAGAAAAAAATTACCAAGATTTAAAAAAGAAACAAAAACATAAAACAAATAATTGGTACTAGTCTCTGTTCTCTTGGGGTCCCCTGGCTAACTACTCTGCTATCAACACTGGCTGGACCTTTAATTCACATTCTGAATGGATTAATAGAGAAGTACTTCATCTTAAACTATATGGCCAATTATTTATGAGTTCAGTAAAATTAATGGTCCTTAGGAATAACTACATCTTTTCTTGAGACAGGGTTTCTCTATGTAGCTTTGCGTCTTTCCTGGAACTCCCTTGTAGACCAGGCTGGCCTTGAACTCACAGAGATCCACCTGCCTCTGCCTCCCATGTGCTGGGATTAAAGGCGTGCGTCACCACTGCCCAGCCTCTAACTATATCTCTTTAGAGTAGGATGAGTCCATTTGACTCATCCACTAAGACCAGTGTGGAATGTAACAGGGCCCCAGACCTTAGTAAGGCCTCCAGACGTTAGCACAATTGACTCCATGATGAAGTGGCATTTAGGCCATAAAACTCAGCACATAGACAGCATCACCTGCCAAAACTAAAAAAAAAAAAAAAAAAAAAAAAAAAAAAAATTCTAGAAAAGTCTCTAAATGTACTAACCTTGCTTTTTGGATCCTGCCCTCACTCCTGTACACGCACAGCTCA